GCAGCACTTCTGCCCAGCACTGACCCCAGCCCGGCACCAAGGGGAGACGAAACCCGAGGGCTGGGTCTGCAGCCACCAGGACTGGGACACGTTTCCAGGTGTTTGCCCCACCGAGGCACAATGTTTCTGCGATGTCGTTTGCCGGGACAACTTGTCCTCAACGAGGCTTTCTGCAGTTTGTCCCCAGGGCTTTGCTCCTTTGGGCTGAGCTGGGGCTAAGCAAGGTTGCGGTGGTCTTTGGTGCACCCTCAAGAAACGAGCAATCAGAAGAGCATGCTGGAGAGCTGGAAACCTGCAACGTCTAGTTGCCGTGAGGACACTCACGACTGATTTAATAGCGTGAGACTCAAAGTGAACTGGTTTATTTTAAGCTTGCCGAGACCAAGTTTGCCTGGCTAATGCATTCTGACTTTCAGATTGAAGACGTAAATATCTTGAGACTTTGGACAGATTCTTTGGAGGACACACGGCTTGGAGGAGGAAACCAGATTCAAAAATAATACCTGGAATTGTTTCAACAGTGCTATAACTGATCTTACCAGGCCCAACGGAGCAGCCAAAGAATGGCCATCTGTTTCCGCTCCCCCCTGCCCTCCCAGCTGACTTCAAACCACCGCCCCAGCAGAAAATGCATTGAGCATCCCGTGGAGGAAGGACAATTCAATAAACCTAAAACCAAAAAGGAACAGTTCATTTTAGCAGAGGAAGCCATAGTGATGTGACTCATTTGGTGGCTTTTGAGGCTCTCCCCCACCTTTCAGCACTGTCACTTAGAGGTTATTTTTGTCTTTGTCCTGTTACAACCACGCGGCCCTCAAGCCGTGTGCTACCCCAGAGCATCGGGGTGGTTAAAGACGTTTTTGGGCTTGCTGCCTGCTGAGCTGAGCACGCTTACGGGTTGGGACATACAGGAGCCATCAGGGATTGTGCACCTCCATTCCTTGGTCTTTGAGACGAGCATATGGGAGACAGGTGGAGTTTTGGCTCCACTTCTCCCTGCTCTTGACCTGCCAGGTCCCCTGCCAGGGACCTGTCTGGCCAGCTCTGTCCTTCCAGACGGGACACTGGGAGGATGATCACGCTTGTCAGACTCGGTTGCTTCCCTTACTGCTCCTGGGAAACCTGTCCCACCTCCCACCCTGGCCACCCTTTGCTGGTCTTGGTAATGTTTTCTCATTGTGCTTTGGTCAGAGAGTCCTACCCTTGTGTAGTTTGGCCACTGCTTAAGGAAGCCTCCAAAGAAAACCATGACAGGAGCATCATCCCTAGCCCTGACAGTGAAGCTGGCCACTGTGGCCACACTGAAGATGGCTCTAGCAGCAAATACTCAGCGGAGATTCATCGTACACCAGCTCAAGGGCTTTGGCAGCCCCGATGGCTGCCACTCGCAAGGAGAGGAAGCCACATGGCAAGAGCACTCGTTCCGGGACGGCTCCGTGCACACAAACTCCTGCTCATACAGAGCTGCTCTGAGCAGCACAGCGGGTTTATGGGGGAGATTTCTGCTGCCACCTCGAGCCAATTCCCCACCCGAGTCCACTGAGACACCGCACCCTCCTTCAGACAAGAGGTGAAAACGGACCTCCGGGATGCTCTTTTCAGAACCGTCCTATTAAGCCATCTGTGTGACCACACTGACAGCAGGACCGTACTGCAACACAATATGTTCCCTCAGTACACGAAACGTACTCAGAGCCCCCAGCACTTCAGCTGATGGGGATTTTTCTTCCCTTTCCATCAGCCACCGCTGTAAAGCTGCTCTAAGAGGCAGCTACATCCCCCAGCAGGAAGCTGTGTCTCATTAGCAGAGGTAAACAATCCCTCTGAACGTGACGAGTCAGGAGAGCACATTAAATATGTCAATATCGTAGGGTTTTTTTAATCCCTACTCAAGAACAGCGTGTCGCAGCAGGAGAAGACGCCCCCAGCACAGCTCAGAGCCCTGCTGCACCCCAGCTGCCATCTCCCCTTGCTTAGGGAATCTCCCCCTCTTTGGGAGGTGAGTGGGGAGCACCTGGGCAGGTGCCCCCACCCCTCAACCTGGCCCACCTAAGCAAACCTGAGCACACCATTGATTTCCCTTGCTCAGTTGGCACAGCTGCAAGTAAATAAAAAATAATAAAAACTATCCAGCCATTTGCTTTTAAAACATCCTTCAAAGCATCCGTTCAGTAGCCTCCCTGCTCCGGGGATGGACACCGCACTGGAGCTCAGCACCTCCGGCTGCGGCCCTTCCAGCACACACGGAGATGGCAAAAGCCACACGTCGCTCCAGTTCAGGCTATAATGGGAGAAGCAAATCCCAGCACGGCACTCATAGCTGTACCATTGGGCAGATCCGTGTCTGAGAGCAAGACAATGTTGAAAACAGTTTGAGTTTTGCCCTGTTTTGTCAACCAGCTTCTGCTGCTTTCCCGGGCAGCCTCGTGCACACACACACAACGCATGTTTTGTTTACAGGAGTCCCCTTTTCTCCCCGAGGCCGCTGCAGCATCCCCTGCAAAGGAGCCTGGTGCTCACGTACAGATCAGCTGCTCACTATTTTGTTTTATCCCCGCTGCTGGCAGAGCAGCCTTCTGCCTTATTTACAGCGTACTACTCGCACGCTGCTCAGAAGACAGAATTATTTATGCCCTCCTGAGCTTTTCTAGGCTCCTCGGTGCCGTGGCCTCCACTCGCTGTGCACACGGTTGCTCACATTCAGCGTGTGCCTCCGAGCTGGGGGTGGGCACCAAAGGCCCATTTTACAGACGCATAGTGGAGAAGCTCTAAGTAGTTTCCAAGACTTTTGGTTGCCCAGCTAGAGGTGGCAAAGCCTAAGTTTTCCCAAAGCACCTCATGTTACACAGCAGTTTCCATGTTCAAAGCCCAGCCCCACAGCCCCGCTTTGCACCCTAGATCACCCATTGGTACAAGCCAGATCCCCTCCTCTGCTTTGCCCGGGGTATACACGGGGCACCCTAAAAGCAGGTCACAAGCTCTTAGACTCCAACAGTTTCCCAGATCAAAGCAAGCCCATGGTGTTGGATCAGTCCCCAGTGCCATGGACACAGAATCGGTCTCTTCCCACACTTGCAGCGGGGCTTTCCCAGCCTGGGACACAACCAGTCTGCACAGACCTCAGCCCTGCACCTTGTTTATTTGAGCCCCCAGGTCTCAGCATCGGCCCCCTCTACCCCAGCACAGCCCTGCTGCTGCAGGAGGTCCCCAGGACCGGGCAGGAGCACGCTGCTCCCCAAACACAGCACCTTCCCACAGGCTCCCAACCATGCACAAAGCATTCACAAACCAAACCACGAAACCCAGCTCAGTCTTACCTTGCAAGTCCACTGTGCTTAAGAGGGCCAGACCTTGCACCGCAGCAGGCTCCTCACCATCAGCTCTGAACAGCTCCAGACCATGCACAAAGCATTCACAAACCAAACCACAAAACCCAGCTCGGTCTTACCTTGCAAGTCCACTGTGCTCAAGAGGGCCAGACCTTGCACCACAGCAGGCTCCTCGCCTCCAGCCATCAGCTCTGAGCAGCTCCACCTGCTTTATCACCTCCTCCCCTGCCAGGTGACTCTGCCTCCCTGATGAGGGTCCCACCCCAGCAGGGCATGTATGGATGAGCAATGACCCATTGGCACAGCTAACCCTGGTGCCCAACTCCAAAACATCAACATTTGGTGCGTTATCTTGACAATATGTCCTTAGTCAGTTCAGCACATGTGTCCCTGCAAAACATGCAAGCTTGGCCGTGCACTGTCGCTTGTGGGCAAAATGGGATGGCTGGACCTTTTCTCCCCTTGCCCAGGCCTGCAGATGAGTGACATAGCAGCAGACATTGTCACCTGGATGAGATGAACCATCCTTCCCACTGTGTTCCCTGTGGGCAGGTGAGGGCCACTGCACCTCCAGCCTGCAGTGGGGGACGGCAGCACGGTGTGGGAAGCCCCGGTCCCCACAGGGCTGCTGTCACCTGGATGAGATGAACCATCCTTCCCACCATGTTCCCTGTGGGCAGGCAAGGGCCATTGCACCTCCAGCCTGCAGCAGGGGACGGCAGCACGGTGTGGGAAGTTCCCGTCCCCATGGGCAGCAGGGCTGCTGGGCACCGCCGCATAACTTGGGTTCTGCAAAGACAGACCTTAACTCGCATTCCCTTGTTTGCCATGGGTTAAGGGCACCCGGACGAGCAGCAAGTGGCTTAGGATGGTGTTTAGGCTGTGGGAGTCCTGGGTCCCTTCTGGGCACTGACAGCTCTGTGCCTGCCCTGTTCCCTTCCCGATGCCCCATCAGCTCAGCCTCTGGTTAGTTTGAGTAGGTTGAACTGAGGAGTGACCAGCAATGCTCATCGCTTCGGGCTGAGCGGGATCATACCCATCCTGCTTGTCCCTGAGGCCACGGTGCTCTCCTGGGCACAGCGGAGACACCGGGAGCACAAATCTGCTTTCTCCGCTGCCGCTCGGTCCTCTCCCAGCTCGGAGCTGGGGAAATCGGGTTTCTCTCCTCCAGCCGTGCTCGGAGGCACTGTGGGCACAGTGTCTGTTCACCGCTTGGCATCAGGAGCCATCAGAGGCATGGATGTGCTTTGGGGATTTCAGCCGTTCGGTTCTTGCAAGGGAGCAGGCGTGAACGCAGCTCTCCGCAGGCTTGTAACTCGGCCAAGCTTAAGGGAAGTTTCTCAGAGACCATCTCGGGGAAAGCACTTTCTATGAAAATTGCCCCCGTGCCAAATTGAAAGGCCCTTTCCCGAAGGGCCTTTCAAAGGAAACAGCTCAGCTGTTCTTATAGTGAAGGCAAAGCCACATATCTTTGTCTTAAATCCATGCTCAGAAACAGCATCGTCCACAGCCAGACCCCTGGCACACTCCAGTTCAGCCCAGCGGTTAATGTTTGACACAAGCAGCTAAAATCAGGGCCCTGTAACAGCGTGAGCTCGGCCACGTCCCCGCGATGCCCACGCGATGCCCAGGCGTTGCCTTCTTCTCTCGTGACCGTTGTTATTGTTCCAGGAGAACCCGTACCTGTGCAGTGACGAGTGCGACGCCTCCAACCCGGACCTGGCTCACCCACCGAAACTCATGTTCGACAGCGAGGACGAAGGGCTGGCCACGTACTGGCAGAGCGTGACGTGGCGCCGGTACCCGGAGCCACTGCTGGCCAACATCACGCTGTCCTGGAACAAGAGCATCGAGCTGACAGATGACATCGTGATCACCTTCGAGTACGGCCGACCCACCATCATGATGCTGGAGAAATCGCTGGACAATGGGAGGACTTGGCACCCGTACCAATATTACGCAGATGACTGCATGGAGGCCTTCAGCATGCCAGCACGGAGGGTCCGGGACCTCTCCACCACCAGTGCCAACAGGGTCCTCTGCACAGAGGAGTATTCCCGCTGGGCGGGCTCCAAAAAAGAGAAGACTGTCCGGTTCGAGGTGAGGGATCGCTTTGCCATCTTTGCTGGCCCCGACCTCAAGAACATGGACAACTTGTACACCCGGCTGGAGAGCGCCAAAGGGCTGAAGGACTTCTTCACCGTGACTGACCTGCGGATGAGACTGCTGAGACCGGCCCTGGGGGGCACCTACGTGCAGAGGGAGAACTTGTACAAGTACTTCTATGCCGTCTCCAACATTGAAGTCACCGGCAGGTAACGGCTGCTGTATTTCTTTGGGCATCTCATCTCGGAGGGATAAGAAGAGGGTTACTGCTAGAAAACTGAGCCATCAGCGTTTCTGTCGACCGATAAGATTATCAGTGTTTCTCCCTCTAATACCCGCTCTCCCCAGGCAGGGCAGCATCGGTAATAAAATAGATGTGTCCTTGCAGGGGATGGCTGGGGCACCTCCAGTACTGGTGCGGGAATGTCTGAGAGAGTCGCTGTGTCCTCCCGGAGCCGGTGCCGGGGGGAGCTGGGACATGGTTTGAACGGACGATCGGGGTCTGAGTTCCCTCTGATCCCCTGTGCCCAGCTGTGCCAACACGGGCAGCCTCTGCCCAAAAATCTCAGGGGTGATGCTGGTGGATCTGAGGGGGTGAGGAACGAGGGTTGCCCCACTGAACTCCAGCTCACTGCCAGTACAAGAAGGATGGGCTGTCCCAAGTCAGTCCTGCACCCCTGGAGCAGCTGTGGCTCTGGCACATGAAGTTTGGGGTGAGGGTAAACCCCCTGACAGATCGGGGGCAGGGGAAGGCAGGAGGGGGTTTGTTTCTCCTGGTTTTTGCTTTTCATTTCTCTGTACGATGCCATATGTTACGTTATGACATCAACTGAAAAAGCAAAGTAAGGTGGAAAAATGCCGAGATGGCTAATTTCCCACCCAGTTTGTGGATTCAGCTTGTGCGAGACTTACAGGCGAGAGGGGAAGAACCTCCCCATCACCCACCCCTTGCTAACCAGAGTCACCACAGTGACAGCGGAGCCGTTTGTGTCGGTTCCAAACCGTTTGCTTCTGAGACTTGCAAGCAAAACTGTTTTGCAGGTGCCGCCGAGGCTGTCTTTGAACAGGCTCCAAGGGGAAGGAAGCTGCAGGGAGAGATGGGAGAGCCCTTTGCTCCTGCGGGAGGAGGCTGGAGGCAGCGGTGAGGGTGGCAGCGGCAGGCAGAGGGGCTCGGTCTCTCTGTCGCCTGGCTGGGATGAGTGGCCGTGGCTCTCGGCTCGGCTGGCAGTGTGTCCGAGTGTCCATCACCGGGATTGCTCAGGGAGGAGCCCTGGGAGCTCAGGCGCACGGCAGAGGTGCGGGAGAGTGCTGCCCCACGTCTGCAGGCGCCTGGGTTTCGGTACGATGTGCTTCTGCAGACGTTTGTGCAGAGAGATGTTTCACACCTGCCCCTGAGAGGGATCGCCGGGCGTACGGAACAGCCATCGTCCTCGGAACAGCTCGGGAAGCGTGAAATAGCCAAGTAAAGAGTGTGGAAGGGAGAGAAAGCAGGCGAAGGCGAGCGAAGGGGCCAGCGCGTTGCCTTCCCCTCCACCCTGAGCACAGCCAGTCCTGCCCATCTCGGCGCGGCCCCACTCCCCCCGGGCAGCCCAGCTGCCCACCAGGACGCTTGGTGTTACTGACAGCGGTGGCAAAGCCAAGGGGATGAATTCTCAGCCAAAGCCCACGCTGAGCGGGGCGGCTGGCAGCAAGGGTTGGAGCTGGTGTATCAATTTATTCGGGACTCTGGAACAGGGGTGTGGAGTTTTCAGCTCAGAAAGTGGTAAATTAGGATTAAATTTTTGATGCCCTTGTGCAATGACCTTTGGCTTCCAAGCAGGGAGTTAACTATGCAGGTACCCGAGGACCCGTTACTGCACCTACAGCAGCTGTGGGATACT